TTTTTGTGTTCGCTAAATAATCAGCTATGACGGCCATTTTGAATGGAGTTGACTCAAAAAGTTATTTAATATCAGATATACATACAATGCTTAGTTTCTCAATTCAATTCAGTTTATTTATATAGCACCAAGTCCCAACAGAAGTCGTCTCAGAACACTGCACAAAAACATTCGCACATTAAAAAAGCCAATTAGTAAAAGTTATCTGTCTAATGAAGCTTAGATGTCGTCACCCGCTTCTTTCTTTGTGGGTTGTGAGAGTCACTGGTACCCATATCCAGCAGTCGCTGCGCGAGAGGCGTGGAACATTCTGGACAGGTCACAAGTCCATCACAGGGACACATAAGCCACATTTCCATAGCCCCTCTTCAGCACGGTTCGGCTCGGTACGGTTCCAAGGCTTCAACCGGTCCCTTTTTCAATCCCTTCTTCTCTGGTGCTACCAACCAAGTTGAGCTGGCACCAAAACATGACGTACACTGTTAGTCACTGATTGATCAGGGGGCGGGGTCACTGGTTCTTGGAGAAAGTTTTCACAACAACCCCATCTGCCATTTGCAATAACTCGAACTTGGAGGAAAAATTGGTCCTATTTTAAAGATTTTAAAACAATAATGACAACACTGTGGTCTAACGCTGAAGTGCAGTCGTTTTTGTGTTTGGTGGCCGACGACAAAATGCACACGAGCTAGATGGAGCTCCGCCGGTCCTCTCCACCGGAGCCTCGGAGCCCTCTCAGGCCGGGCAAGGCATCACCTCCCCGACTCCAGTCTCCACCAGCCACCGGCAGGGGGTGGGATGGAGAGTGGAAATTATTTTAAGAAACATTTTATGTATTAAAAAACGTGTTTGTTTTTTTTATCAGTGAAGATTTTTTAAAAATGGTGCCGGCTTTATCATGAAATCCTGTTTTCACTTTAATGACTTTATTAAATAATCTGTTACAGTGAACTCAGCTGAACAATCATAAAGACACAAAATTATTGGATCTCAGGAATATTTCTCTCAAACATTTAAAGACGAGATGCAGCCGTTAGTTCAACTTTATTCTAACCAACACATGTACTAATCACTAAACAAGAATTAAACTTTAAAGCAAAGATAAAAAAATCAGTACAAGAAACAAAACATATCTAAATTGAACAACAAAAGTAGACACAATGAGTGCAAATACATCAAATGATGAAGAAAAGGTGTAACATTTTTAATATACCTGTAGATGCTTTTGTAGAATCTGGTTCATCAGAGATTTAATGGTGAACTAAAGTTCATTAAAAGGTCATTAGCAGGATTTATACACACACACACACACACACACACACATATATATATATATATATAGTTTAATTTGATCATTTTAAATCTTTATTCTTTTTAATTTACCAGAAACTTTAAAAAATAAATTCTCATCCTGTATATGAAACCTGTTTCAAGTTTATGTTGTGATTCTGAGCTAAATCCAGATTTGTATCCAATCTGTGGGTGTGTGACAGTAATAATCTGACATAAATTATGTTTTTATCTGGACAAATTATGAAGCTTCCAGGTTAACCTTTTTATTGTCCGCTAACTTTATGACCTTTCTTGACCCTTTTAGAAAAATCAACCACCTTATTTAACTGCATAAAATACTGTTTATTTTATTTTATTCACATAATAAAACAACTATTCAGTCTTTAAGAGAGAGAGCTAACTCAGTCTGAAAACATCAAATTTAAATGACTTATTTTAACTCTTCAGGCCATTTTTATTATTATTATTTCATCCATCCATCCATCCATCCATCCATCCATCCATCCATCCATCCATCCATCCATCCACAGTGTTTGGTAAATAACAAAAGTAAAGTGTCATAACAAAAGTCTAGATATTTTTAACACTGTACATCCTCTTTGTCAACATCTATACTGAAGTGATACATAGATGGTTTCAGAGCAGGGAAGGTAACAGCCACTGTCTTTAATGGCACACATTGTATGATGTCGCTCCAGAGCTGGACGTAAACAGACTGTAGGTCTGCTGCAATTATTTTGATGGAGAATCATCTGAAACACACACAACATGTATAACTATCCATCCATCCATTATCTTTACCCGCTTATTCCATTTTGGGTCACGGGGGTTGCTGGTGCCCATGTCCAGCAATCACTGTGCGAGGGGCGGGGTACACCCTGGACGGGTCGCAAGTCCATCACAGGGACACATAGAGACAAACGAGATAAACAACCATTCACTCTCTCATTCACACCTAGAGACAATTTAGAGTTACCAATCAGTCTAACATGCATGTTTTTGGTCTGTGGGAGGAAACTGGAGCACCCGGAGAAAACCCACACATGCATGGAGAGAACATGCAAACTCCACCCAGAAAGGCCCCTGGACCGGGGTTTGAACCAAGAACCTGCTCGCTGAGAGGCAGCAGCTCTACCAGTTATGCCACCGTGCTGCCCACATGTATAACTAAACAGTGTTTAATCGACATTTACCAGTACATACTTTACGCTCAGCTCCCACTATATAGTAGATTAGCATTAGCTTACCCTCACACGTCGTCTAGCTCGCGTGGCTTCCCTCACTCTCCTGTTCTTCTCCAAAGTCTTTCGCCTCGCTGCTCGCAGCTTTTCCCGGGCCTCTTCTCATCAAAGTCTGACAAAAAGCCACAGACTGAGCAGAATATTCAACAAAGCTACGAGATCCTCCATCCTCCATTTTGAGAGTCAATTTCAGGTGATTGTAGTTTATTATAAATATTTGCACAATTCTAGTCTAAATGGTATTTTAGCAACAACACGCTGTTGTAGCTGTTTGACTGAGATAAACTTGATTATATTTAGAATCATTGTGAGCAGTAACCGTACTGTGATAAATGTACTTTAATAAATGATCAAATATGAAAAATAAATAGTAATCACTACATAGGCGGCATGGTGGTTCAGTTGGTAGAGCTGCCACCTCTCAATGAGCAGGTCACCAGTTCAAATCCCGGCCGGGGGCCTTTCTGAATTAAGTTTGCATGTTCTCTCCGTGCATGGTTTTCTCCAGGTACTCCAGTTTCCTCCCACAGAACAAAAACATGCATGTTAGTCTGATTGGTAACTCTAAAATTGTCCCTAGGTGTGAGTGAGAGAGTGAATGGTTGTTTGTCTCGTTTGTCTCTATGTGTCCCTGTGATGGACTGGAGACCTGTCCAGGGTGTCCCCCGCCTCTCACACAGTGACTGCTGGACATGGTCACCAGTGACCCCTACGACCCGAAAAGGAAGAAGTGGTTAAAGATGATGGATGGATTGAAATCGTTTCTTCTCATCCTAAGCATTTCATTGTACTGTTAACCTTGTGTTAACTTGCAAATGACAAAAACAACTTGAACTTGGATGGATGGATGGATGGATGGATGGATGGATGGATGGATGGATGG